TTTGAACTCGCTCCTGTTTCCTTGTCTGTTGTCAGTGTTCAAGTCAAAAATGTTGCATCATGTTTACACATAGTTTTACTTTAGGAGTCATTCCATTTGATACAAATGATTTAAAACACAATTCTGTCCTTCAAACCCTTCTCTTGTTCAATTCCACCTTTTCATGATAAAACAGTTTCTTTTGTTCGTGCTGGAAACAGATGATGTTTGAGTGATTATAAAGTGACAAACACACACTGTTAACAAATAACCATTTAAAAAATGGATAGTTCTTTTTTGAATCAACTCCAAATCGGATCTTTATGGCAGATCTTGGTCATAAAAGTGTTATTTTATTGATTTCCAGTTGAATGTATTAATTACAAAAAGCAATAAATGTTTAAAAATTTATTGTGCAATATTCACTGCACAAATTTAGTAGTAGTGAATAAAATATCTAACATGAGCAGGTATCTGGTAAATGTTAAAAGTTCTAATTTGTTTCATTCACAGTGTTCATGTAACACAGAGATCAGTGTGATCCTGTTGTCAGTCAGMYCTGCCCCCATCAGGTCAATGTGAAAACTTTTCTGTGGGGTTTTTGTTCAGCCTCTCCACCTACTTTGAACACTGTGCTCCTCTGGCACAGTAATACATGGCAGAGTCCTCTGGTCTTAAGTTGGACAGTTTCAGATACACCATGTTGTTGCTGTTATCTCTGGTGATTTCTATTCTACCCTGAAAACTGCTGGAATAGTCTGTGCCACTGGCATCATAATAAACCCGTCCCATCCACTGCAGTCCTTTTCCTTCAGGTTGTTTGATCCAGTGCATATTATGAGAACTGAAAGTGAAGCCAGATCCTCTGCAGGACAGACTCAGAGTCTCTCCAGGTCTTTTCACCACTGGACTGGACTGAATGGACTCCATACTCTGACCTGAACAACCTAAAAAAGAGAAGACACAAAGAACATGATAGAAGATTTCATCTTGCCTGACCACTGAGTCAATGTAAAGTCATAATGCAAAATAAATAAATAAATAAAAACATTACAGGTCAGAGAGAGAAGAAGCAGCAGAAGACTGAGCGTGTTCATCATCCTGAAGCTGGAGATGAGACGTCTGATGCTCCACAGGAAGTCGAAGATCAGTCAGCAGGACAGAAGTACTCTGAACTGAACACAGATTTGCATCAGAGAGGGAGGGTCACAAAACCATTGAATTTACAAGATCCCATTTACACTTGACACATCTTATATGTTTCTGGTTATAAGTGTATGTAAGGGTTATAGGAGATCAGAAGAGTAATTTTTGTAGGACTTTCTTTTTCTTAACAATTTCTGCATTGTTTTTTACAAACACAAACTAAAAAAAGAAGTTTGTCTGATTGTTTTAAACTACAAGTGGCTGTGTGGCAAGAAACTTCACCCACCTTGCCTACTGATGGTGGTCAGAGAGTCCGGTGGCGCCGATGCATGGCAGCCCCACCTCTGTCAGTGTGCCCCAGGGCAGCTGTGGCTACAATGTAGCTTACCATCATCAGTGTGTGAATGTGWGTGTGAATGGGTGAATGTCTGTAAGTGTAAAGCGTTTTTGGGGTCCGGAGGGACTTGATAAAGCGCTCTGTAAGTTCAGTCCATTTACCATACAAGGGGTTTTGATTAAAATATTCATTAAGTTGAAATTGAAATACATTTTCTGCAAAATATTTTCTCACAGAGCAAAACTCCACAACATTATGTAAATATTCCTGTTGATTTTTCATTTTGAACTAAAATTTATTTTGTTTTGGTAAAAAGCAGATGTAGATGTTTGCCTGACTTGACAGTTGTGGGTTTTTGGACAGTGTTCGTCTTTTCAGTGCCACTGTGGCTCTTTTGCACAATAATAAACAGCAGAATCTGCTGTTTGTTGTTGTCTCTGGAGATGTTGAACTGGTCTTGAACTGACTGAGAGTAGTACTGAGTGACACCACCGCTGCTAATGTAAGCGAACCACTCCAGTCCTTTTCCAGGAGCCTGTCTGATTCAGGCTATGTCAGGAGTACCACTAAACACAGAATAAGTGCAGGTCATTTAACCACTGGTTCAGAATCAGTCAGAGTTTGACCCTCAGAAATAAAACAGATCATAACTAAAGTAAAAACGTCTTTCCATCAATTTGTTTCCTTCAAACAATTTTGAATTCTTACCAGCCAACGTGCAAAACAGAATGAACAAAGTGACAAAACAAACAGGTCTGATCATTTTCTCAATATTTTTTGCATTAAAACAATTTAAT